CTCTAAGCCACAATGTATTTGCAAAACTCGATACACTGCCTTTAAGCCGCAATGTATTCGCAAAACTCAGCACATTGCCTTTAAGCCGCAATGTATTTGTAAGCTCACTACATTGCCTCTAAGCCGCAATGTATTCGTAAAGCTCGATACACTGCCTCTAAGCCTCAATGTACTCTCCTTATTCAACCCATCGCCTAAGACGACATGCAGCAATGTTCGGAAAACAAAATCTAGCTTATCGCCTAAGACGTCATGCAGCGATTCACAGACATAACCCATGACCTCAGTCTCCAAGCAGCCATGCATCATCAAGTATTGAATTATTCATCCCCCCAAAAGGACGAATAAGCAAAAGCAAACCAAAACGGATAAGATTTCTCTCAAGCTCAAGACCACCTGCCGCGTCATCAAACCCTGGTAAGCGATATATCATCAGCTTTGCCCACTTCCTCAAGACTCGTAAGGGTATGCTATATCAGTGTAACCATATGATCGTCGGACAAATTTTGGGTATTCCAAGTATTCAATAAACTCCCAATCAGAATGTGCAAGACTCGTGCATTCTCACGCTATTCGATTGGAAGATAATTGAATAGGGGCAGCTGTCGTACCCCAAATTTTCCCTACCTCGATGATTTATTTTAAAATAGAAAAAATATTTAATTAAAGATGGTACAACAATATCTGATGGCCCATATTTATCCAAGACTAGGGGTGTATTTAAGTGAGGCTTTCTAAATCAGAAAGACTCATAAACCCATTCTCGAAGCATGTTGGTCAATGGCCCATGCGATTCAAAAATGGGAATTATTTCAAAAGAATAATAATTATTAAGTTTATTTTGCATAAGCTTGTTTAGGTTAAGTTGATAAAAAGGGGGGTGTGCTTATCAATAACTAAGCCCATTAAGTTAAGCCCAATTAACTTTTTTGCTGTTTTTGTTGAAGCAATTTTTGGTTATTAGATATTGGGTTTTAAGATCCTTTATTAAAGATTATTTGGGAAAAATTGTTTTGAAAACTATTTGGGCCAGTAGTATAAAAACATGTTGCTGTAATAAAAATGCAGTCTTGCTGGGCTGAACAGGAGATAATGCGCAAGCCGAATTGAATTGGAAAGTTGTGTTTTTTTTGCTGTAATAAAAAAAGGGAAATGATATTGTAGGCTGAACGATAATTTACAGGCCCACTGAGTTTTCGCCCCAATGGACATTTGTTACTGTTTTATTAAATCTTTTTATAATTATTTTGTTGTTTATCATTAAATGTTTTCTGAAACATTTTATTAGACTTTTTTTTATAAGGTGTTTCTAAAAAAAATATTTGTTTGGATCAAAGTTGTTAGGAAATTAGGCCCAATTTATACAGTGGTATTTGCAGCTCCTTTACAAGTTGGACCGTAAACAATAACAACGCGAAGCCCAAATCAGTAACACATACTGTAGCGATCGAAGCCATAAAATTACGCAATAACACTTACTGTTTAGATTGCAATTGAAATCGAATCAAATCTAAAAATTACTAAAAACAAATCTTTTGCAGTTAATGCGAATATACAAAATACGGATTACATTCGATCAAGTGTGCAAAATCAACAAATCCAAAAATTAATTTTGATCTAAAAAATACAACAAATCTCAAATCTACAACAATTTGAATCCTTAATTTATCTCTAAGTCTCTAAATCTAAGCAATTGTTTAAACCCTAATGACAACCCTATAAATACTAAACCAGATACAGAAGAAATGGGGGAAGAATTTTGGAAGAACGGAAGTTGAAGAAGAACACGAAAGAGCAAATACCGATCCAAGCGTTGAAGAAGAAGAAGAGCGATTAGGGTTTCAACATCTGAAACCCTAATCACCACTGATAACCTCGCCGTCCTTGCTTCACCGCGTCGCTGCAATCTTCACCGTGACCTACGAATCAGAGAAACAGAAAGAGGGATTAGCTTAAATCCAGAAATTCAGAGATCAGAGCAAGAAGAAATCGCACAAGGGTAAGGACACTTAGCTTCTTTCTTTATTCACTTGTAATTTTCCTGATGAGGGTTAAGATAAGGGAGGTTGGGTTTGCGTCACTGCAGGGACATTAAGGTTACAGGGAAAGGGCTGTAAGAAGAAGAAGATGAAGGGAAGGGTTTTTCCGGATTCGCGAGAGAGAAAGATGAAAAGTTGTAGCAAATAATGAAATAATAATGTAAAAACAACTTATATTCTGTTTAGATCCAATACGCGCGCGTTTACAGTAGCTAGCATGCATCCTTAAATCTCATCGTTAGATCATGTTTGAACGACCGTGAGGCCAGGTTCACCGTAAGTCCCGTACTCCCTCATACACGTGAACGACCAGGCCTCTCTCCAATTTGCAATGGGCCTAAGCCCATTAAGTTCCGCACCCCCGTTCGCCTGTTTCACTAAAACGCACAGAAAATAGCACCCCCTTGTCCAGTCTATACAATGGGCCTAGCCAGACTCCTTTTAACACCCTCTTATTTTACTTACTAATATAAATTACACCCCTGTTTAATTTTAACAATTTTTCTATCTTTTATATATTTTCTATTGTTATTATTTTTACTATCTTTTATAATAATAATTATTACTATTATTAATATTAATTTTTATATTATTATTATATGTAAATATTATTATATTTTTTTATATCCTTTATTTATTACATATGAATATTATTTATATTATCATAAACAAATTATTTTTATTCAAAACTCATGAACATTATTTTATATATTTTGCATTAAATATCTTTTTGATCATGCATTAATCAAGAATTTTTAAAGTTAATACGATTAAAAAACACGCAACAAACAACAAACTATTTTTCACAATCAACTAATCTAATCAACTGTTTTTTGCAAAAAGGTTTCAAACAGATTTTGACTAACCGTGCGTTTAGCCAAAATCTCCGCAATCACTACTCCCGGCCAAAATGCGAGGTGATTCAAAGTATGTTTGCGACCCCTAAAAAACACCAACCCCATACGAACTACGAATTGAGACTCTGATTCCTCATAAGAGGATACGTGGGCATACGATCAAAAATCGTAGCGAGTTCCCTTATTAAAAATTAAAATCCATTTTCTCCTATTAAAATTTAAAACCCTATTTTAGTCGAACTTAAAACTAAAACCTAGTATCCTTGTGAACAAGGTAAATGAAAGGTGCCTAACACCTTCCTTTCGTCTAATTGAGTCCGAAACTTAGAATCTCTGTCTGTGAATTAGGGTTTTTTGTTAGATTTCCTTCCTTAGGATAAAAAAATAATAGTGGCGACTCTCAATTTAAAAATTAGTTGCTACATATAGATAACACAAACTTTACACTAATAGACATTGGGAAAACGATAAATACTTAAGAGATAAGACAAACTTTAAACCAACATGCAGTGGAAAAACGAACATGTGACATTTGCGAAGCCTTTGCGTCTTCTTCAAGATGGTCCTTTGCTTCGTTGCACTGTGATTGCACCGTGACTTTGATCTTCTCCGATTGCTTCACTTTCTTCGTCTTCCTCGTCTCCAATTTCTATTTTGGGTGAAAGGGACAACTGTGAGCCCTAGGTTTCCAAGTGGAGGGGATAAGAAAATATTTATTTTGTAAGTTCATTTTTCTTTTAATTATAAAATTAAATATCCAGTCAACAAAATATTAAATGCCACATAAGATATGTTTGGAGAATCTTCATGAAAATGCTTTATCAGGGTCATATTTGAGAGAATCTGAAAAAGTTAAGAGGAGATCAAAAAAAGATTCTTATAGGAGAACAAATGAAAACTCGTTATAAATGGAGGGATAACATATATTTAACCCCTTAATAAATTATTCAATTATATACTTAAATTAATTCTATTAGTTATTTATTTATAAGAAGTTTTAATTTATTTAATGATTTAATTATGCAATAAGATGATTTATATTTTTATTTGAATTATTATTTATTTATTATATTAATTAATATGAGTTAAAATATAAGTGAATGTTTGATGACCTATTTCAAAATAATAAAAAGATGTGTGTGAAGTGATACATAGTAGGACTATAGGAGTATTCTCTTAAGAATAATGATAAGAAAAAAAAGTAAGTTACAAAAATCCAATCAAACCCAAAAGGCTTTTTAGCAATAAAATAGGATGCACTAGCTTGCCGACAGTGTACATGTCATTCATCATGATTAGAACTTTAACAATCATTTTCCTTATATCTTAACAATCATTTTTTCATTTGAAGTGTGAATTTTAACTCACACTTCACACTTTACAGACAACAAACCACTCTACCCAAAAAAAAAACTACATGCATTGTAGGTGGGACAATCAATATGGTTTTGGGACAAAGTTAATACTCTTTCATAATGGAGGAAGGCCTACCAAAACAGGCAAACATATTAAATTAGTAGTTTCCTTAATAAACAGAAACTTGAAAGCTGAAAACTACTCAAAATACCAAACTTTTCTACCTAGCTCAGTTAGTTTTCTATCCTACTAACACTTATTAATTTCTATATGCATTTATATTGTTATATAGTTTTGCAATAAGCTCATTTAATGTCACAGCATAGAAAAATGCATTCTATGGTTGCTGTGATCCTTAAAATTTTGAGGCAAAATGCAACAACTGCTTTAAATATTGGTGTGAAACACCTTTGTTCTTAGAGCAACATGCCAATTAATGCACACTAAACCGGACTACCGGAGGAAAGCTTTCCAAAGCGGAAAGAAGTGAGCGAAACAAGGAATCACGGTGGAACATGCAGTGACAGTACTTGCAAACACTCTAATGGCTAAGCATAAGAAGTTATTTTGAAATCATTTTAACCGTCAATGTGATTGCAAATATTTTGGGGAGCTTCCGAAAATATAAAACAGAAAATATAATATCAAACAAGTTAAGGATAAAGAGCATTTTCGGATAAAAAAAATCTCTTTGTTCAAAATTTGGAGAACAGCATTTTCAGATACACTAAAATGCAGAAGCTTTCTATTATTCATCTCCTTTGGTAGGAGGTGGACTGTCACCTTGAGAGGATTTATGCTGTGTTGCATTTTCAACTTGGTTCTCAGATGATGGTGGATTCTCTGAATCGACTTGCTTCACATTCTCAATCATCTTCACAATTTCTGACATGTTAGGTCTTTGATCGTGCATCCTTACAACACATGACATAGCTATCTGTAACATCTCCACCATCTCTTCTTCTATATTAGGACATCTCATAAGCTCGAGGTCAAATACTTCAGCCGTCCACTCCTCTCTCACAACAGAATGAACCCATCTCACAAGGTGGACAATCTCATCTCCTCTAGTCGTATGGATAGGAGATTTCCCAGTTAGAAGTTCTAGTAACACCACACCAAAGCTGTAAACATCCGAAGCCTGTGTTGCTTTTCTGGTGTCTGTAACTTCTGGTGCCCGGTAACCAGCTGCTCGCGAGATAGGCTGGCAGACTGAGCTCATTATGGTTGCCAGGCCAAGATCAGACACACAACCATACTGTTTAGTGTTAAGAAAGATGTTTGAGGATTTGATATTGCCGTGTATAAGTTTCCCACCATTTTCAGAATGGATACGAGCAAGGCCTCGTGCAGCACCTAAAGCTATTTTGATCCGAGTATTCCAATCTAAAGCCACCTTCTCCTCTCCTCTCTTACCTGAAATTTCCAGAAAGCAAAGGTTGTTTATATGCACGAGGATTATATATTCGTACACGATATTCACATAGCTAAACTCCGAGTCCTATCTGGGTTATCAAGATACAATATTTTGACTAGTTTAACATACCAAACATATACACAATCTATCCTTTGAATACAGATGATCAAACAAAATCGAAATATATACAATTGAACATCAATATTAGTTTAAAAGTAATATATGTCACATACCATGCAACAAAGCAGAGATGCTACCCTGACTATAGTAGTCATATACGACAAGTTTCTCGTCTTTGGAATAGTAATACGCCTTTAACTCAATCACATTTTCATGTTTAAGACTTCCAACAACATTCATGTGTTGCTCAAAATCCTTCTTTCCGACAGCTACCTCTTTCAACCTCTTCACGACTACAGTGGTTGCATCCTCTAGTACAGCCTTGTATGCGGCACCAAATGTTCCCTTACCAAGTACCTCAGCAGAAGCTCTTAACAAATCCTCCAAATCAAAAGCATAGTTACACCCCTCAAAGAAAAAAAGCTTATTGTTTGCATCTTGGTTTCTAGAAACCACTTTTTCAGGTGACATTTTCCCTCCTTTCTCCAACTTGGCATCAAAAACATCACAATCTTTCCTCTTAGAACACAAAACATACATAAAAACAATAAATGCTGCAAGGCATAAAAAACCACCAACAACAATACTTCCCAACACTAATGTTCCACCAACCCTCCCATGTTTCTCAGATTTCGAACAATGCATCAAACAACTTGCAAGAGAAACATTGTTTCCAGCAAACCCCGAATTCGGAAACCTCCTAAGTGAAACAGGAACAACACCTTGTAAATTGTTGTTAGACAAATTCAATTGTTCCAACAAAGGCAAGTTTACATCGGGAATTTCACCACTGAATCTATTATTAGACAAATCAACAACAGATAAGTTCCTCCAAACACCAAAATCAGGTAAAGGACCTACAAAATCATTGAACTGAAGATACAAAAGAGAAAGATTCTTCAAATTAACAAAATCATCAGGAAAATAACCACCTATAAAATTAGACCCAAGACTCAATTTCTGCAAACCTTTGATTCTACTAATAGTATTAACAGGAATTGTGCCATTAAATCCAAATCCCGGTAATCGAATCGCGATGATTCGAGACTGATCTAAACTACAAGTTACACCATTCCAAGTAGAACACACTGAAGAACTCAAATTCCAATTCAAAGGCTTAGAATGTGGTAATTTAGTAACAAACTCTAACAATGCTTTTTTGTCTTCAACAGGTTCTGCATTGCATTGACACACTAAGAAACCAATGAAGTAAAGTGAAAACAGAAAAATGTAATAATAATAATAATAATAACTCATTTGAACTAGTTGAGGGTTTAGGGTTTTGAAACGGTTAAGAAAAACAGAAACAGAGAAATTTGCAATGTCAACGTTAAAGATATGTGTTTGTTTATATAAGGTGTAAAAAGCATGAGTTGTTAACTAATTTGAGGAGGTGGTAAGTTTTGAATGTTGTTTCTAACTTATTTAATGTGGATCTGAAAAAAGAATGTAGTGTGATGTGAAGAAAAAAGAATGGTAATTATGAAAAAGTAGGGGTTATGATTAATGAGAAATGATGGTGATAGGTGAAAAAAATAGGATCCAATGTAGGGAACAGTGTTGGAGATGGAGGTGAAAACATGAGGTTTAGTTTAGAAATGGAAGGGTGGAGGTGGTGAGTGAGAATTAGCATGTGGAGTGATAGTACAATGGCATGTGACTATGAGATGAGTGAAACAAGAGTCGCAGTTGACTGTTTGCAAAGTGAAAGGGATAGGAGAAAGAGCGGCCGTTCAATTAGGTTAAATAAAATGATTACATTGCCTTTTTTTTTTTTTTTTTTATTGTTATTGTCATGAATCGGGGCATATCATGATTAGTAGGATGATCAAAATCGAAATCGTAAAAAAAATCGTATTTAGTTTAGATATGTTTAAGTCATCTTTTAACAAAATTGTATGGTTAAATCGAATCAAACTCCATTATGTTACAATTTAAATTTTACTTAACTCATATTCAACTCAAACCTAAACCTATTATACCTTAACCTTATGATTAAGAATAACTTTTTCATCTTTACATTTATAGTTTCAATTGTAGTCTTCTCAAATCTCTTTTAGCATTATCGTGTCTTATTCGCCACATGCATCTTGTCTCTTGTTCTCTAATATCTACTCTCTTATATTCTTTCTTTTTCACTTTTTATTTTTATGCAAATGTTCTCTTTTTCAATTTCGTTTTTATCAGACACCTTCTTCTCTAATCTCTTATCTCTTATGTTCTTTCTTTTTCATCATCACAAATCTCTCATCTCTTCTATTTTTTTCATTATAATATTTTTATATTATTTTATGCTATTATTTTATGTTTATTATTTCACTTTTGTCTAATCTATTTTTTACATATTAAATGAGAAGTTGTTGTCCAAATATGATGAGTTTTGTTGTTATTTGGTAGTGTGTGAATGACTAAATACAAAGTTATGTTGTCATCTATATGTGTATGTATGGCTCAATAAAATATTTATAAAAAACCGAACCAACTAAACTAAACCAAACCGCACGTTTTTTTCTCTTGTGGTCCATATGATTCTTAGCGTCAAAACCGCCCAAACCTCACCGCGAACACCCCTACCGATGATAGGAAAGGGCAAATGTAAAAAAAATTAACCTTCTGACACTCTAGTCAATATGAAATTGAAGTGAAATTTTGCAAGTAGGGTTTGAATCGTAAATGGGCATGACTCGATGCCACACTTATATATGGGTGACTCTTGTTATTGTCTCCATATTATCCAACATGAAGCGCGGACTTACATTGAATGTTGATCAAATAACTTAGACGGAAGGGGCACATTTTTATGCAGTGACAATATAAGGATATCTACTTGTACGGTGCGTTGGACACCTTGAAGAGATTAGGTCTACATGGATTGGACCGATTGTTGGATTATTGTCAACCCCAAAACATTTATCTCCCAAGTCATTATTGTTGTACCCCAAAATTTGCCCTCCCATATGTAGCGATAAAAAATGTAGCGGGGTAAATCGGAGATCGAATTATTGATTAATTCGCCTCACAAAAGCAAGAGTCGCCACCGCGCTTTATTGTTTCCAAAGGAAAAGGGAAGAGAGCGAAATAAAACCCTAAATATGCAATGTAACTAAAAATACAAATACAAAGCGTTTTTGAAAAGAGATCTTATGGTTCGGGGGTTGGTTATACAATGGGAAGGTACTAGCACCCAATGCATCTATAGTACTCTATAGGAACCTTTTGAAATATCTGTTTTATTTAAAATTGATCGCTTGATTGAAAATAAATCGTTTTGGCCGAAAAAAGGGATACGGACGGTTTTTTAAAAATGCGACGACCTAATGTCGAAGTTTTGGCTTAAAAGGTATAAGTCTTGAAAAGGTTGAAATTTTGAAGAAAGGTGAATATTTGAGGAAAATTAACCTAAGTTTTTAATGAATGAGAGTATTCGCTCGATCGTTTTGAGGACATGAAGTCAACAAAAATTAGGCAATTCCCTTTGGATTGACGCAAACAGAATAATCAAGTAAATGCGAGATATTTAAACAGAAGATTATGAGATAAATGATATACGACAAATTAAATAAGAGACTGAGCGTGAACATGCATTTTTTGATTTTTTGTTTAATACATGAAGAGAAAAATGTTTTTAATTGGTTACGCATTTTAACATAGATAAAAAGTGACGAGAATTAATAGAAATGTTTTTTAATGTTTTTATATATTTCTATTTTTTATGTCCTTTTTTATATTGGTATTTAATCAAAATGAGGGGAGTAAAATAAAAAATAAAATGTCTTTTAGTTTTCTCATTTTTACTTTCACATGTTTTTTAAAGATATTAAATATTTTTCAAATTAAGTAAAACTTACAAGTCAAATATCTAATTAAAATAAGGAAGACTAAAATTAAATAAACCCAAACTTAGATTAAAAGAGATTTGGGTAAAATATTAAAATTATCTATTTAAAACTATATGTTATTCCTAAGAAAACTAACTAGTCTAAATTAATTAAGTTAAGAAATGAATAGAATTTAACTAAAGACCAAATGAAAGATGGGGTGTGAATTAGCAAAGAGAATGGGCTTAAGTAAAACAAATAGAATGGGCTTAAGTAAAACAAGGAATTGAGATGGGTTGAGAGGAGTGGAGCGGGTCGTGGAAAGACCCAGACCCAAGAACACAAAAGCTGTAGCGACAAAACCTAGGGAAGTGGTACCATGGCCGCCGCCGGTGACTGTCTTGGAGGTCGGTCGAGGAGATAGCGTTTCGATTTGAAAAGAAGATGATTTAAGCGAGGGATGCGATTTGGATGAGAAGAGCGTATGTTGTGTTTGATGAAGATGGGATTAAGCGAGGGACGCGGAACAGGGTAACCAGAAAAGGCGTCGCGTTCACAATGGCCGTGAGAGGTAAGATGCTCTATTCTCCATCTCTTCTCTTTGTCTGAATCTGTGAGCCGTTGCTCCTTTTTTGCATGTCTTGAAGTTCTGTTTCTGGTGATTCAGGTTCTACACGTGTTTTACCTGTTAGAAATAACATATCTACCACTCTCGTATCTAACCCTTATGGCATCGGAACTGCTGGTAGCACACCAACTGGATTTAGTATATCTACCTCACAACTACCACCTGATTCAGCTTCATTGTCATATGTTTTAGCGGAAATTCATTCTCGTCTTAGAAACTTGGTTGGTAATTCGCAAGGAGATAACACAGTTCTGTTAGGCCAAATGGAATCAACTAACAGGGACGTATCATCTGGATCTGTAGTAATGACGAGACAAATGTTTTGGTCGAAAAATTTGTTTCAAGTTCTTCCAAACAATATTTACAAACTTCTTCTAGTGGAGAAACCATGGTAAAAATCAGAAAAGTACAGGATGCTCCATCTGCAAGTGAAAGACAAGATGTAACTGGACCTGCCAAAACTGCTCCTCTTGGACTGGGTATGAGGGGTTTGGAGCATAAGAGACGGACCCGACTTCAACCTCCTGTTGGTAAATATGCCGGTGATGGATCCTCCAATTCTTCCATTAACCAAAGTCAGGAAACAAGGACAGATAGCCAAAATCTATTGCAATACAGGTTCTTCCATCGATTTGAGCGGGAGAAGAAGGACGGTTGTATTAGAGTTGAAGAAGGTGATGGTGATGATTGCAGAGATAAGGTGGAAAATTGATGGGGATAAAGTAGATAGAGAGCGGATGAAGGTTAAAGGTACTTCGCTTCTTTTCCTCTTCAAATTTCAGATTTGAATGGTATGCTTTTGTGGTGAAATAATGGTTTTGTTTTGGATTTGAATCCGTAAAAGGGTGTGATTACAGGAGGAGATAATGATGGATACTGTTAGCACGGTTTGTTGGATTCGCAGAAGATGTGCATCGTTCACAATGATGCAAACGCGATGATGTTGTCGAAGAAAAGTTTTAACATGAGGGTTATGGAAACAGAGATTAAAGGTATGTTATGATCTTCCTGTGTATATTTTCTAATATAAGTGGCCTTCTTAATCTTCTTTTTTTATGAAAAAGCTCTATATCCGAATTGTTTCTAATGTTGCACGTGGTGATTGAAGTAGAGAAACAACCCGATGAAAATGTGGTGATGCTGTGATGAAGACGAAAATTCGGGTATAGAAGCGATGATATCGTTGTATCAGATGCGGATTTAAGAGCGACAGGAGAATTGAACGAAGATGGTAGTAATGAACCGCGAAGTCCGAATGAGTAATTGAAAAAGGTTTGTGAATTTTCTGTATTTTTTACAAGTTGGCTTTAAATTAACAGTATATGTGATTGTGTATCGATCTTGCAACATTTAATAAACTTGAAATTTATCGAACGAATTGTTGCCGGTGTTAAATAGGGATTGATGTATTGATGATTCGCAATGATATTAAATGGCCATTTACATGATTTCAGGAAATTAAAGAGAGTATTGTTAAGTGAGACAAAGGCAACGCAACGGTATAAAGGTTTATGCGAAAAACTGAAGAAACTCACATGGTCGGAGCTAGTCCGACGGTACGATTCCGGCGAAGTCAGGTAAGCTCCGAAGACTCCTCGCTCCTTGCTTTCTGCCACTAATTCTTCTCTTCTTCTCCGTCTAAAAAAACTGGTTGGAAATATTGAATAAATGGTTTTTTTGGACTTTGGATTATACTGGTTTATCTAAGGTTTTGCTACAGTATGCAAGTTATGCCATGAACTATGGTTTTGAATAGTTTTGATGCAGGTTATGTTTTGAAATGGACTATGGCATTTGATAGCTTTATGCAG